GTACCGAAAAGAAAAAAAAAAAAAAAAAAGAGCTAAAAGGTGAAACCCTAGCAATTAATGAACTTGAATTTATAAAGTCTAAATGTGATCTATGAACCAGAACATGTTATAAAATGTAAGCCAGATCCTAGCTTGAATTCTCCTAAGCAGTAACACTCAAAAAAAAATTTTTAATCTATACTACCTTTTATCTGATAATTTCAGTTGATCAATATTCTATCTTTTTGGTTCATGAAAAAATAAGGAATGGTACTTAATGAATCTTATGAGAAATAAAACTCTGATGTCCTGCTAAAGTTATAATTTAGTCAGAAACCTGTGTCTCATCTTTCTCTCAATCCTTTCTCTTACCATTTTTTCACTAGTCTTCTTGAAAGGGCATAATAATGGACCTCACAGATGTGCCCCAGACACACTAATATTCCTAACCCCTGGAATCATCCTAAGCATATAAACAGTAAGTTTTTTAAAGTACTGTCCTTATGTTTCATCTCAGTTCATCTTGACTTTACATAATACAACTGTGAAATAATTAAAAGGAGAATGTGAGATGACTTATGAAGAGTCAAAATAGCATACTAGCTCTCAGTGCCAGACTGTGCTGGAGGTTGGATTAGACTCACAGTCTAAATGAGTCCCACTGCACCACATCAGCTACTAAGCAGTCTCCTTCCTGTACCTTCACAACTTCCACAACCAATCATCAGCTATTTCAGGAGATAAGGTACTCTAGCAAAATAACTATAAGATTTATATTTGATATGGTCTTTCACAAGAGGAAGTCTGAAGGTAATGCATCTGTATTTTAAACAGTATTACATCTTATTATTCCTAAGAGAAATTCAAAATGTTTCACATACATCATCTTTTTCATCCTCAAACATTCTTTACTATATCATAAGTAAAGTTCATCTTTCTCACTTAAATTGCAAGTCTGTGGCAGAAACAGCTAAAACTTTGGTCCATCATACTGAAGTTAACACAAAACTCACAGTTATTCAATGAACAACAACTAATGTCTTAGGTATTTGCAAAGAAGAGATGGTTATACATAGGAATATGTTTCCATAGTGAATGGTATTTTTTGCCTCCAAACTAATTACTACTCTAGATATTACTTGTTTAGAGAAAGCATGAGATGATGCTCAAGAAAACAAAACCTGATCTATAGAAAACTTTGGCACATTTACTGCAGCATTTTTAGAAACAATGAAAATTAGAAACAACCTGAAAAACATTCACCAATAGTGAATGTAAAATAAATTTTCATGCTTATATACTACAGAACAGTGTGTAATCATTAAAATGAATAAGATATATCTACATGGAAAAAGAGCCATGCTACAATGGTTTTTCAAGCTGGAGATTACACAAGGTTGGAGAACAAATACATATAGTATAAAACCTTTCCTGTTTAAAAAAAAATGTGTGAATATGTACATGTGCATTTGGGTGTACGCATATTAAAAATGACACCAAACTTACAACTATTATCTCTGGAAAAAGCTAAAGGAAGACTTTCATTTTAAAATCATATTTGCATCCACATATGTAGTTTAATTTTTTTAGCAAACGTGTATTAATGATGGATGGGGTTGAGGAATAGCCAGAAAATACTTCTAAATGTCAACAGTCATTTTAGAAACAATTCTTCTGCTATTTATGAAGAGGCATTTTCTGTTGTACTGAGTTTCATGGGCTTCAGGCTTGTTTAGGTGTTTAAGCGGCATCTATGCAAACAATCTCTCTCTCTTTATTCTATTTTTCCTTCTTGCATTATTCCAGGCCCAATGTGTAGTCCCTAGTCCTTAGGCTTTTTGCTGTTTAATCATCCACGTTCCTTCCTTCCAACATTAGTCCAGCTAAAGGCCGTATTCTCCTGTAACCTTGTAAATCCCAAGGCCAATTCCCACTGCCATACTCTGCATCTGAGGGCCTTGTCTGTGATTATGCAGTGTCTCTATCATATGATCTAGTGTTTTCAGGATTTCTATGTAAATGCACAGCCAAACATTGAATCATGAATGAAAGGTATACTGGCAAGAGTAAGACATGCCATATGGTTTATAACTGAAAATTATAAATTACAAACTATCACTATCTGATAGCAATTCTTCTAGGAATTTATTCTATAAATATGGTCACATATGCAAAATTATAAATGAAACAATTTTCATTGAAGCATCATTTGTAATTGCAAAAGACTGGAAACAATCTAAATGTCCATCAATAGGGGGCTGGTGAAATATATTATGGCACATTTCATAGAATGAAATACCCTAGAACCACAAATAGAGAATTATAAATTTAATGACCAATATAAAACAACTGAAGTCAAACAAGTGAAACAAAAATCAAAGCACAGAACAGAGTATATAATAAAAAAACATTTGTGACACACACACATACAAACATATATACATACACACACACACACACACACACACACACACACACACACACACACACACACATTTACTTATCATCTCATCATCATTTGCTTCCAGCAAGGTATACTGGTCAGTTACCTATTATCTCTCAGCCCAAAACCCACCCCTCCTATACTCCATTCTACACTTGGTGCTTGGATTCTGAAAATTACATTTCCTAGGCTCCTTGCCAGCCAGTTTCCTGTTAAGTTCTGCTATCAGGAGACACTAGTAGGAGATCAAAAGGCAGGAGGAAAAAGAGAAGCTTCCTGCCCCTGGCTCCAAAAGAGTAGTTGCTGGTTGCAGCAGGAGCAACAAAGCCGAGGTGAGGCAATTCTGGATGTCGACAGCACCTTTTTTGGGGGGTTCCAGCCTCGTGAATGTAGGACCACTTTAGACGGCTCAAACAGCACAGCAGTTCATGTGAAGCTCATGGGATACAAACTTTACAGAGTATTCCTAAATCCTTTCATACTTTTTGAAAACCAATATTAAAAAAATTAATACCCTGAATGGATAAAGCTAGTTCCTGTGTTAAGAAAAGAATGCATACCTATGTACACATTTGTTGCTAGACAAAATCCTGAGACTTCTAATTTAGATATAATCCACCGTTCCTACTAATTTTCTAAAACCTTCCATGTATAGAAGTATCGGTGCATCCATACAACTAAACTAAATGTAAAAAAAAGTAAAAATTTTTACATTCTAATTTAAAAAATTAAAGCTGATAGATGTGTAACAGGAAGAAAAATCTGACTGTACTTTGAAGCAGATATGATCCAAAACTGTGCTGTTCAACGTGGTACTCATTAACCACATGTGGCTCTTTACATTTAAAATTAATTGAATATTCCTCAATTGCTCTAGCCACTTTTCAAGGGCTCAGTAGTCACATGTGACTAGTGGAGAACTTACTATACAGCAGAGATTAGAGATCATTTCCAAAATCATGGAAAGTTTTATTGAATAGTCCTCCTCTGCTTTAGACGGAAGGTAGAAGTCCTCTTAAAAAGGAATACTCTTTATT